TACACGTGGGGTGTATGTTTCTGTACACCTTCTCCATTCTCCACATATTTCATGGCTTTACTGCTTTCTTAAACAGTCTAGGAATCTGAGAATCAAGGCAACCAGTCACTAAGGAATTGTCTTTGGCTTAGATGTTAAAAAAATACTACATGTCAAATAAAACTGACCTGCTCTTTATACCAGCAAACAATGTGGAAGAGACCTTTTGGTCTGTTTTGGTTCATTAAGCTTTAAATTCATCTTTCTATGATGTACCAACCCAGGGTTGAGACACGTAAAATTTAGGTCAGTTTATGGATTGAGTGTGGGACAATATTCTCAGGGCTGTCTTTCAGAATGGGGAGTTTCATGAGGTCAGTTTGATGTTTTCAGTTCTCCTGCTCCAGAATTCTGTGATTATGTTTCTCTTTGCCTGATCAGTAACTGTGATCTGTGCTTTAGGTGGGATTTGCTTTCTGCACAGAATAATCTATAGGTAAGGCAAGATGCAGCAATAGTAATCTTGTTAGACAAGGCAGTTATTTCAAGATCCTACAAAAAGCACTACTATTATATTTTTTTCGAGATATTCTTCAGTCTGTTTAGTATAGGTTCCACTTTCTTGCACAGATGTTGCAGTGGCATCTGGGATGAGCACCCTTACAGTAGTCTAAAATAAGAAATATCCTAGTTACTAATAGGAGAGATGATGCAAGATCTACATGTTCACCTATGTAGTTGTTCAGACACCTTTTCAAAGTACTGTGTGTGCTGAAGCAGGTATTCCAGCATGTCAGTACCTGAAATCAACTTGGGTTTCCCCTTTGTCCTTTTCGCCCTTCACAAATAGAGAATTCCTCAGTGAGATGGGAATCTTACCAATTTACAGTTCATAAGGGGTTTCCTTGTGAGAGTGTTCAAGATGAGGACTTGATTAGCACAGATGTATGTAATTCAGTTATGTGTGTTCTGAGTACAGCTTTGGAATTTCTGTGGTACCAATATGGGCCTCAAAATTGGCTTGGGGGATATTCCGGCATGGTGAAAGTGACCACACAGTTCTGTGACTCAGTTGACTTCTAACTTTCTATTTCATTGTTTGTGCTGATAACTAAATTACTTGGATATAAATTTTGTAGTCAGAATGAATAGAAATTCCCACTTCTGTCGTTTCTCTCTTTAAATGAGTGGAGATAGTATAGTTCAGACCTCTGATAGGATCCTTTGACTTTTTTCTGGTCATTCTTTCAATACAAATTCAATCCATGTGACAATCAACAAAAGTCTGCTTGAAATGGTCTCTTTGTATTTTGAAATTTGAACATGAAGTGTATTTGTTCAGGGCAATATTCAAAATTAATAATATTTGGTTGTGGTGAAGTTTTGTATGAAGGAATTTGAAAATCTCTTGCTACTTGTTGGACTCGTTGTGCAACATTTACATGTGTTTTCAGATGAGAAGTCAAAGATCGAATGCATGTAGCAGGAGATTCTTCGGTTTTTCTTAGACAACTATGATTAAAATTATTAGATCATGTTGTTACTATCCATGTTGTTTCCCCACTTAATAAAGACAAAGGGAGGTACTCAGATCAGCAACGTTTTTGGAGTCAAGATCCTTTTGTTTAATATTGTACCAATCATTTACTGATTTGCAGAAGAAGTCGAGGGGGCTTTGGCCCGTTCACTGGTGTAGTTTAGTGTTGTGTATGTTCCAGGTCATGTACTGCAAGAGGGGTCTCTGTTGCTGCACAGCCTTCCAGTCCAGATCGTAGCTACATCTGGAATTGTAAGCTAACTGCATTAAACACTTGCAAACACGTAACAGAAAGGTCTTGCAGTTGGTGATACATTCAATACTACCTTGTTTTTGCATGAAAAGTTCATATTTAGGCTTGGGATTTTTTTGTTCTTCCACATTTAAGGGAAAACATTTATTTTTCTGAATCAAGAGCAATAAGCACTGGTGAAAGTTTGTTCTGAGTTGGGCTTTTTTCGTAGTCTCATTTTTCGAAAGACACTGTTAGACATTACTATCTCTAAAGAGTCATTTAACTTTGCATCTAGACAGTTGAAGAGGTCTATTTCACAAAATTCTGTGGGTAACATTAAAGACTTATGTTTTTTTTCCCGAAGTATGTTACAAAGCATACTTTCTTATCATTGGTATGCTAAAAAGTACATGAATTGCAGTTTTTGCTTTGCTCAAATATTGGACTGGGTTTTAAAAGAAAATAAAATTTGAAAGCTGGATAGTATTAAATCTTCCTAATAAGCAAGTCTCTCTTCCACTTAATTTGTGCTTTTGTTGTGGCTAACAAATAATTTGTTGTATGGGTTTTTCTGTACACCATTGATAGAATATATAAGCTTGTCATCCTAGTGTGCTGGAAATGCTACACTCAAATCAAGTGTTCCTTTCTGGTTTTGTATATCCTCACCTGCTCCTCACTGTAAATCATTGAGATGTCAAGAGCAGTGATTAATTAAGCTGCACGTGCAAGTGCTTTTTTTCACCTGTCAAGTAGGAAGAAAACTTACTATAGTGAATTGTGTGATGCTGTTTAATTCATTTCTTTTTATTCCAAACTCTGAAGTTTGCAGAAATATTTTACAGTCTAATTTTCATTAACATTTCTGTATTGATAATATGATGTGATTTGGGAACTATATCCCAGATTATACTATAGGAAGGATTATATTTAAGGCTCTGGGAAGATAAATAATCATGGTCTTGAGGCTGCATGTATTTTTATTTCATGCTAGTCAAATGATTTTAAACTGTGTTATTTATGTAAACCAATTAATAGTACATAACTACCTATCGATTTCTTATTTATATGTATAATTTGTAATACAGATGTAATTTTATTGGAATTTGAAAAGCTTGGATGTTTTTCACAGTCTTTGGGGCAAACAAATTAAATTGTATAGTGATCTTAATCTATTATTACAAGGTCCTGGAAAGGAAGATTACAAGGTAGATTCAGGTTTTGAATCAGTTTTGCCATTGGTTTAGCAGCGGGTGGGCAGGCAGATGCCTGCTCAGAGTAGAACCTATTGCCATTTTTCACCATTGATAGAGTAGCCTTTCAGAGTCAATGAGCTCTGTCAATGTGAGCTTGTCAAGGCTACAACTTCATAGACCTGAGAGGCGGTTTGAGAGGTCAGCCCTTTTCAGGTTTGCTGTGATGCAAATGAACTTTAATGCTTAAACAACTATTGGAATTTTTATGTCTGCTCCTTGTTCTTTTTTCTTCACAAAGTCATTGACGAGACATTCAGTGCTTTTTAAATTGGAAGTTGCATTGTGCTAAAGACCTAGTACAGATTTACGGAGGGCTGAAAGCAGTTAGATCATGTTCTTTTCATGGTGCGATTAGAATCAAATCGATTTCCCTACAGCCTTCAGCATTCAGATGGCAATTTTAACAAAGCTTGGGGGCTAGACAAGGGACAAAACGACTGAACTGAATGTTAATTACACTCTGCAGCCTTATTTTCTTTTGATTTGGAGCTGACTGGCAACTAAATTAACAAAAGTGTGACCATAACTGCTGCCCTATTTTCATTTAAAAGGAGAGCAGACTCTAAAAGGCTATCTTTACAAAGAAACAAGTGAGGTCTACTGATTATTGTTAAAGGGCACTGTCTTTAAAAACATAATAATAAGAATAACCCCAAAAATACTCAATTTCCAATTGATGTGATAAAATAGTCACTGGCACATCCACCTTCTGATAATTCCCTGACTTGTACTTTTTAAAATAAAACATAATAAAAAGTTCAGTGTAATGAGTACACATAGATAGCAATGATCTAATTTTTAATCATGTGACCACAGTACATACTTAGATGTGTTTCCCCACAACCGCATCAGTATAAAACTAGAGACAAACTGGTGTTTGAAAACACCAGTTAATATTTGAGAGGAAATTAATAAATTTTTGTCTAATTTTTATTTTACTCCTTGTTTCTCATGACAACATTTAGTTTGATTTGTTAAGGTTCATTTACAGTACTAGTATTTTGTAGTAATAACAGCAAGATGCTCTCTCATCCTTTCCCCTCACCCCTCTCCACCTTGTAAGGAAGCTGCAGCTGCACTAAGTTGTATTTGATCCTTGTCATTGCTGCGTCCTTTTGCACCTGCAGCTCTGTTGGTCTCATCTTAACACCTGGCACCATGAATTATCCTCTTTTTATTCACAATCTGTAGCAAATCTCATTTAGAGCTAAGCAATATATATTCTGGCAGTCAAATGACTATAAATGTCAGTATGTGTTTCTCAAATGTAAATATAACTGAATAGTTATACTCAAAATGCTGTGAAACTTTACAGCACAGAATGTCCTTTACTTCTAGCATACATAATCTTAAAAAGCTGCGCAGAACAGCTTTCAGGATTCCCTGTCTGAAGTGTCAAGTGTGGACAGTACTTGCAGTACTGTCAGGCAGTAAACCTTTGCTTTAGAATCCTAAATATTGGGTTTGTTCTTTATAAAAATCACATGAATTTGTGCAATTTACTGTAAATTCTGCATTTGTTTTTACAGTCTCTAAATCTGGATGTAGATGTAACAAATTTCTCGTTTAGAGTATTGTGTGTTTGTATTTGACTTCCAGCACTGCAAAATAGCTTGCAACATTTTTGAGTTTAGCTGCTGACCTTAGTCAGTGCACTTAGACCACTGATACTGAGGGAGCAGTGTTCCTGCTTTTTATACTTGGATCACTTCAAAATTTCTGCGATTTTAAAGTTATAACTGCCATAAGAACCAGACAGCATGTATATCAACAGTTTTTGTTCCAAAGTGGTTGAAAATAATTATGTGACTGTCATAAAAAGTTGTTTCTGTTCTAGATACTATTTAATACTGGAGAAGTTCTGATAGTACTGCAGACCACCCTGTACTCAGTCACTGTCCCGTACCTCTCTCCTTTTCACACAAAAGCAGCTGCAAAACAAAGTTTTTCTAAAACCAGTCAAGAGTAAAATTCTTTCTCATTTGTCTTCCAGACACGAAGATCGATTGAGAAGTTATTAGAATGGGAAAACAATAGGTTATACCACAAGGTGAGTGCCGCAGGGAGCAGCTTCGTACTGTTGGAGTTTGAATTGCACAGTATGGAAACAGATGCTTTTGTTGAACGAAAAATATGAAAGGTGGACAAATGGGCTAGTCTGTGTGCTGCAATAAAATACAGCTCATTTTTCTTCTTTTTCTTTCCTCCTTGTCTAGCTGTGCTTGCATTGGAGACTAAGCAAAAGGAAATGTGAAACGAATAACATGATGGAATATGTAAGTTAAAGGGCTGTTTTGTGAGTTTCTCTATTAAATGATCATTTATTTTGCTTCTGATCTTATTCTTTTCATGATTATTAATCAGTAAAGGTGTCAGGAGCTTAATCGCCTGAGTGCAAGGATTTTCTACGGTTCACAGATGCATGGTTTCATGTGCAGGACTGATTTATAAAGTTATGAAAGACTTGAAAACAAGGCTTCACTGTGTTCTGAAAAATAATAAATTAATTGCCAAGATAAAATAGCTTGAACATGTGCTGATGGAGTGTGAAATTTTAGATGCTGTATAAAGAATAACCACAACTTTGGTTACGCAGCAAGTCAGATATGGCTATTTTATATAATGCTAATCAAGTCTAAAAGTATGGAAGAAGACCTTTCAACTAAGCTGTTGGAGCTTAAGAAACCTTTTTAGATTTTAACTGCCCCTTACCTCAACTATCTTAAAAGCATCTTTATCTCCAATTGGTGTCACTAAAATATTTTTAAGTCAGTCTCTGGAGTTTTAATTCAGCCTTTGGCTGAGACTCCATAAACCCTTCTTGGAAATACACAGTGAGAAGTTATATGTGGTTTAAAATGACTGATGTCCAGTATGGGATTTCAGTTTGTTTAGCTTGCAACTTTCTTGTTCTTTTTTTAGGTGCTTTTCTTATTTTCATTTTCAGAATGTCTTGGAAGTACATAGGATAGGATGAAATTAAGCTGCTAAAATATGAGAAACATCAGAATTTCCGTAATTTCTTTTAATGCTTTAGGAACTGGGCGATAGGAAGGTTAACTTTTTAAAAATTAAGATTAGTTTTTGAGAAATATCTACTGTGTTAGTTGTAATTGATTTGTGATCTTCCATTACACAGTACTCCATCTATTCTTTGAAATAACAAAGCTATAATGCATATTAAAACTTCAAACTTTATTAAACAGTTCAAAATTATATTAAAATTATCTTTATGTTTTAGTCTTCCCCTTTTTCCTGTTTCTGCATTAGGTCTTATTTCTAGCCTGAAATATAAGATCTTAAACATGTTTTTTTTCAGAATGACTCTATTCAGTTCTCTGAATAAGTACATTTTTTAACATCTATTCTACCAAATTTTTTGGGTTAGATGCCTGAGTGTGATTGAAAACAGAATAAATCAAATTTCAGAAAGTAGACTTAAGCTTTACCTAAGTGGTTCTTATTTTCCTGAAAACTTTGTTTTTCCACAGGAAACACTGTCAAAGCCAGTGGTTTCAGATTCAATTGAAAAAAACACAATGCAAGTTTGTAAATACTGTGGCCCACCAGTGTTTACAGATGAATATTCATTTTATTAAATATAATTTATAATCAGTTGACCTGTTTACATTAATAGTATATATGCATGCACATACAGTTTTATGAGATAAAGGTCAAAGATTTTATTTTCATATGTGAAACATCTGGTATTATCTCTGGATATACTTAGTGAGAAAATTTTTACAAAACCTCACTGTACTGTTTTCTCATTTTCAGTGAACTGATTTGCTAGTCTCTTTAAAAACTGCCCTAATTGTGTTCATGATTTAATTTTAAATAATAAATACTTATCCTCAATTCTTTTTCAAAACAGATGATTGAAATTAGATTCTTTCACCCAAAACTTGGTGCTCTGCTGAATTTGAAATTTTCACTGTTGTAAATGCTAAATTAAATAAATAATTCTAGAAATTAAGAAAGACAAGATAATCTTACATCTTTGGCATAAACAGAGTGTTCCAGCTTAACTTCTTGCTCCCTTCTTGAAACTTTGCCTGAATATCAGAAGCCCTGGTATCTCTGCAGAATCCAGTGGTTGACTAACGTCACTGATCAATAGATTTTGAGCAGTTTGCATCACTTCTGAAAATAAGTCCCTTCTGAATCTCTCAAAAAATAAATTTGTACACCTGATTTCAGTATACATTACTTCTAATGTGTTTGCCTTAGAAATAAAATCAGAGACTCATTTATTTGCTGATGTTTGGTACACTATCAGAGATAGTGTATACTTGCTAAGCAGCTAAGTGGTGTTCTTCTTTATAATCAAAAATATTCAGAAATAATTTTTAACTTTTATAAAGGTGAGTCCCCCTTACAAGTAAATAAAATCCTTAGTTATGTTACTAGATGCATTTATTTCTTTATGAATCAGATCATGCTGCTGTGTTATGACTCTCTCTCTGAAGAAAGAAGATGCACAAGTGAACATTTTCTTTAAGCTTCCTATTTAAAGGAGGATAAATACTTGGATTGTGTTCTGGAGCAGACCCTATTATGTACTTAGCTCAGAAACACATAGTTTTAATTTGAATCAAGACCATGAGAATAATCATGCAAAAGCATTACTCAAGTTCTTGACTAATCACATTTGTAGATATGGGAACTTTGCAAAAGTTGGTACACTTTTCTATACAGGTATTAAACTATTAACATGATTTAGAATCCTGTATTAAGTGGAAATAATTCTGAAGTAAATGGAATTGCCTGTGTAATTGAAAATTAACTTTTTATGCATTGTGCCTTCTGGATTTTTTTTTATTTTTTTCAAATGAATGCATTTATCTCTTTCATAATTTTTTCCCAATAAAGGAAACGAATTATGTTAAGGAATTTTTGTGTAGTAGCTTACTTCAGTTCATTTTCGTATGTTACGTGTCAGTAGGCAAGCTTATTCAATTGAATTTGATTCTTTAAGAGTTTGGAGTTTCTACTGATGACCCCAAAACAATTAACATGCATGACTTTTCTAATGGTCTCCTACTTAAGACAAGCTCTGTGATCTTTGATTTTTGTCACAACTTGATATACTAAAAAAAAAAGGAATATGAATTATTATTGTGATAAATAATAGGATTGCTGCCATCTTTAATATGTATTTGTTTTCTTTTTATACAGGTCATCCTTATAGAATTTTTACCAAAGACACCAATTTTTCGACCAGATTAGCATTTGATTTATTTATAGAGACTTATTCAAGTATGTTGTCTTTCCAATGGTGCCTTGCTTGGTGCTCTCCTGGTAGTGACATAGCATTGGTTCTACAGAGTCTTGTGGTGTTTTCATTCTTTTTTTTTTGTTTCATTGGTTGTTTTTTTGGTTTTGTTTTTTTTATAAGAACATGTTCTAAGTGCATTTAGTCAAACTCTGCTGATTTCACACAGGTGTTAATTACTACTTAAGTTATTTTTACTTTTGCTACTTCTGTTTATTAACGTATCTTGATTTTCAAAGAGTCTTTTATATGTGTGCGCGCGCGTGTGTACATATATATATATTACCATAAATACACAGCTGAAAATTATATACAAGTGAACAGGTATTTTTTTATCCCAATATGACACAACTGATTGACTGTACATTGTGTAGGTCCTTTGAGTTATTCATTTACATGCTGAAGTTCCTTCTAAGATATTCCTAAACTTCTGTCAGTGACTAGTCAATTGTAAATATTTTTATTTCTTCTTGGGATATTGACTAGTCTCTTCCAGCGAAAGGAGATAAAGTTCTTTTTGAAACTGGTTTTTGGAACCCAAATGCCATTGCATTAGTAGAAATCTCTGTGCTTTTCATGAAGAAGTCCTGTCAGCTGGTTCTGAAAAAGTTCGGCTTTGAAAGTTAAAAAGAAGCAGCAAAATGGAATTATTTTGCTTGGATTAGAAGACTCACTGAGAGAATTGCATGCATCTGGTTAGTAGAACTCAAGATCACAAAGATATATTAGTATTGCATTTTATACTGTACGTGTTTTAATTCAGTCTAATGCCATGTATCAGCTTTATTCCTACTGTTTACCAGAACCTGTACACAGGGGTGCAGAAGGACTTGTTTTACTAAAACTTATTGTCCAAGAGGACCTTTCAGGGTTTTTTTCGTTTATTTTAAAACTACATAAGCAGAAAAAGTTATTGAAGTATTCTTGAACAGTAGAGTTCCAGATGCAAAGGCCATTTAATAATCAAAGCAGGGTACACTGGGCAACAGCGGGATTTTAAATGTGTTAGACAGTTATTTATTACACCCTTTTCTTTTGCTCATTTTGGTTTACAAAGCTTATTTTCTGTGCAAGTATAAGACTTTTTTTAACTGGATATATGATGTATGCTTGGGTCAGGCTGGTTGTGTTTTGTTTCTTATGCTTATACTTTAGTTGTTCATATCTTCACAAAAGGTTTTGGTTTTTTTAATTGCAACTCTCGTATTTCAGAATTTGCTCTAGATACATAAAATTACTGTACATGAACGCTGATGTAAGTTAAGAACATGTTCCTTGTACAGTTGTGGTAGCAAGCAATAATGTGAATATATGAAAAAACAGATATACTCTGCTTAATATTTGTATGAATGAAAAGTTGATACCACTACAAGAATAGTCTTCTCTTTTTAATCTTTTAAATACAGGTACCTTGATGCTGTGAACTATTTTTCTATGTCTTCAAGATATTTATTCTCTGTAAAATATTCTCTAGTGAGTATTATATTCCTGAATTGTTCATAGTAGGAGTGGTCTAGAAAGTTTTAAGTTTTCTTAAATCTAAGCCTTCTGTATCTGTTCCCAAAACTCGTCCTTTGCTCAGCTTTCATCTGTGGATTCCTGCTGTTCACTTTGAAAATAGCTCAGCTATGCTTTTCATACGAGCCTACAAGTGTGTTTCTTTGACATGACAGAACATGATTTTTAATTAACAAATCCCAATTTCGTGCTTCCTCGGTCTTCTGGGTGCCACAATGGTCTCTCTCCAAAGTAAATGTTTATAATTTTCTAAAAATCAATTTCAACCTGTTCTTTAATACGAATCTGGGTCTGCAACGCTTCTCCTCTTGCCCAGAAGTATTAATTATAACCTCAAACTAGTTTTTAGCCTGTAAGGGAGGCCAGAAACATAACATTGATGGCAGCTGAGACTGGGGAGATTGGAGGTCCAGAGGAGAGGTTGAAATGGAACAGAGGTCATAACTGGTGATAAATTCTGATGACCAGAAATATATATTGATTTCTTTAAGTGTCGATTTTCAATAAAATGAATATTGAATCATATGAAGTCTAGATTTTATCAAGATTTTCAGTTGACTGTACAGATAATTTGTGTCATGGATGCAGTTTTCCACTGGTGTGGAAACCTATCCTTCCACATAGTGTGAAGGGATAGGTTGGATAGGGCTTGTGATACGTTAATAGTAGCGCCACATTCAATGTGAGCTGTTTGCCTTAGTTTACTACCCAAACTTTCCATGCTACATTCTGTGGCACCACAGATACCTTGCCAGCAGCACCCAAACCCACTGACAGTAAAGCTGCTTTAGGCACAACAAGTGCTGAAACCAGAGCAGTGAATAGAGTGTGGCATATGAGTTTACAAAGAGTATCTCATTAGTAAAGCTTCCACATAAGTGGTAGTGCTGGTTAAGTTCTTACCTACTTTTAGGTGCATCAGCAGTCATGGGCTTGGTTAGCAGGCATTTCTGTGTTTTAACTATGACTTTCTCTTAAAGAACTCTAGTACAGAGGTCCAGAGTAGAGCTCGGAGCAATTAAAAAGTTAAATCCCTTAGTAAGGAGGCCAGACTAATTCCCTCTAAAAGTATTTCCGATATTGTATTAAAACATTGACTCTGACCTAAAATACAATCAGGAAACTTGAGAAACTGCATATACAGAGAGATGAGTTTTATCTCAAAGATGTTTTTCTCCTGAAGAAGTAGTACACTCACCTAGTAAGAATGTTATAAAACATTCTGATACAATCCTTTTCAATTCATTAATTACAGTTATGGAAATTGAACATGGCAGGAACTTTAGTCACCTGTTTAATGCCTGCGGCAGTTGTCAGGATTTTCCTTTGATGTTGCTTCTGAAATATGAAATCTGTTTACTTTGTGTGCTAGTGAGGAGACATACATTACCTTTTTGTCTATTTGGCAAAGAAAGAAGTTGCATAGTTTGAACAGACCAGAAGCTGTAGTAGGACTTCCAGGACACAGCCTACACTTTGCTAAAATAAATATTACATTGTACTAACTTGTTCAGCTTCTTGCAAGTCAGCAATTCCTACAAATAATCTTATCTATTTGAAATTTCCTTTAACAGTAGGAGTTGATATTAATCATTTAGCAAATGATGTTCATTATGCCTGTTTCACCTTTAGCCTGAAGAACTAATGGTGAAGGCATCAATGACTCCCTGTGAAAGCTAATAATTATTTTTAGATAGAGTGGCCTTTAACTGGTGAATAAAGATTTTTTTTTTCTGTAGTATAATAGAAATAAATTCTTTTTAATCTTTTAGTGATAGATAGAAATAAGTCCTGAGGGAGAAGGTCTTTCTGTCTGACCCTACATAAATAATTCTGTAGAGCTCATCTATTATTAAATAGCTCTGATTTCAAGTTTATACTGGGATTGGCAAATTTTACCAGAAATGAAAATGTTTGTGGAGATAGGCTACAGGAAGTCAAGTAATTTTTTGGTAATAGCTCAGTAAGGGTAATTTTAATAAACTATTTATGCAAATCCAAAATTTCCCAATATCTAAATATCCAAAATGATACTTAAACTGAAGTAGAATAGATTATAAAATCTTCTTACAGTACTTAGATGTAAATTATAATCTCTAAACGAATTTGTTAAATGGTATTTTTTTGTAACTCCCAAGACCATGGTGTTTAAATGCTCTGTCTCTCATATACAGGCTTACTTAAAAGTCGGGTTTAATTTTTTTTTCTAAAAGTCATTATTTAGCCCTGAAGATTGTAGGGAAGAGCTTTAAAATGCAATTTGTAACTGCTTAGAAGCCAGAAGGAAAGGAAAAAGAACTTTTCTTTATTCCTTTCCCTCCACCCCCCACCCCAAAGTCTTAGTTTTAAATTGGTCTCCTTGTTTTGGAGCCCTAGCTTATGGTTTTTGAGCAGCTGGCAATAATGCAAAGTGCCCACCAAAAAAACCCATTTCAATTCTGAACAATTTAAAGAGATCACTTTAATTAAGAGTCAAAAGATATGTTAAGCAAAGAAAATCCCTGGTTCTTTTAAGTTCTCCCAGCACTGCTACTGAGTAATTAAAAGAAGAATCGTGATGACCCTACATTAGGTCAAAATCCAGATGATTTTGTGTAAAGGAAATGCTCCATTAGAGAGGTCTCAGAGCCCCAAATGTCTTGGATTCATAGTAGCAATTTATTAAGGGTAAGTGACGCTGGCTAGTTTTGTATCCGTGACTGAAATAATTTATGTTGCTCTTCAGCAACTTTGTTTACGAAAAGAAAGCATTTCAGAAATAAGATCTGTATTCATCACTGCTAATTTGCTGTAATTTCTGTGCTTTTCCCTAAAGCCACATTGCGTTTCCATCACAAACAGCTACGTGTATGATCGTTATAATGCCTTTAATAGCCATATTGTAGGTAGAAATAATTAACTTCTCAGGGACTAATAGGAAATATGAAAATGGAGTTAATGAGCTGAATGCCTATCTGCATGAAGGCTTACTTTGCAAACATCACTCTAGAAACCTGATTGTAATATGCATGACCATTATGAATGTTATCAATATACAGTTATGAGAGCTTCTTTTACCCTGTATTATTAGGCTGCTGAATGTCAAAGTATGTTGGATAAGGATAAATGAAGGTTTTTCCCTGATTTCGATGGAGTGATTATTTCTAATGGTGCTACCTTCTTAATTCCTGTGTTTATTCTTTGTAAAGTTCTCTTTGAATAGGCTGGGTGAAACAGGGGATACTGACGTAATGAGAAAATAGTGTCGTTCTTCTTAAGGAAGAGAAAAAATTTGAAGGGGAGACGTAGTCTAGAAGCAAAAAAATTTCACTGCTGGAAACATGCATTTATTCTTCATTAGTTACAGATATTCATTTGTGTTGTTTTGTTGGTTACAGAATTTTGCCATTCATTAATTTTTGAACTTTCATCTCTTTGCACACTGATGTTTCAGTCGGTGTGGGCTGAATTAGAGAGTATTTTTTAAAATTTAAAAACATCTGAATCCTTGCATGAAACTTCATTTGCTGACACTTGTGCTGGTGCGTGTATCTCTACCACATGACACCGGGGTAATATATATCCTTTATAAACTACATTTTACTGTTTTCATGGAAGTTGTCCTTTTAAAAAAGAATTCTGCTTTGTTTAGCTCATTAATATTTCATTAAGATTTATTTTCTTGAAAAAGGATTCATAAATGCTTGGCTCCTCAGAATACGACAGACCATTAGGAACAATTTAGTGAGGCAAAAGATGAAACATAGGAATTAGGAGAAGCAACAGCCAAAAGCTTGAGTTTGGAGATTAGGTTTGGAGTTCTCTGAGTACGATGGAAAATAGTTTTGAACTGAATGAATTGGCATTGAATAATGCAAGTTAAGTAAAAGCTAGCAGACCATTTCAGTAATTAGGTAGACTGTGTTAACTTCTATTTTTTTATTTTAATAAGTGTGTTATTAATTTATTTTAGTTATGCTCTAGTCGATAGACAATTCTATTATACAGAATAATAATGCGGAAGGTAAGCTTCTTTTTAAACTCAGTGTCTCTTCATTTGAAATAGCCAGACCAAAACGGAATTGCTGATGAGAGCTGCACAGTAAGTGCAGAACAGGCTTTTCCTAAGCTGGAGCCTGTAATGCATGGCTAATTGTTTCCAAAGAAAATTCTTGACTTGTCCAGACAGCTCCTGTCATGTGACAGTATATCTAAGGCCTACAAGTAGGATCCAGTTAGTACAATTCAAGTTCGTGTGAGTAAGAGAGACTTCTGTAGTTAGTTGTAGCTTTTATGGAGAAGGGAACCATTGACAAATACTCACTTTTCGAAAGCAAATAGTAGATTTTATGATGTTTATTGAAACATACTTTTTTTGTTGCTATTTTCTCCTAATTTATAACTTCTTCATTGAAAGTTACTTTGCCTTGTGTTGAAAACTAGACTTAGTAGTCAGCTGAAGGTTTTTTTTTTGTTACAGTGTTTTACATTTGTGAATCCATTTTTTAAGTCACATTTAGAATTTTTTCAGAAAGTCAGGTATCCTGATGCAATATAATTGATATTTTTAGTGGCTCTATGTTTAAATTGATTTCACTGTACTGATGTAAACATCTAATTCATCCACTCCAAGTGTTTATCTCTGATCCTTTTGTGCTTGCAACAGGCTTCCTGACTTGTTAGGATATGCAGTGTACCTACTGGTTAATATTGTCAATGAACAGTTTGGTTCAGTGAGATAACAAGGAATACAGAGTAGTTCCTGATTTGAAAAGCGTAACTTAGATTCTTGTTTCCATAAAGGATGGAGTATGGCAATCAGAGTAGCAAAGTAATTCCAAACATAAATTTGAAAGAGAATAGTAAGCTGCAAAACGGTGCCTAAATGTTGTGTGCTAAATTAGACCTGTGTAATTCAAGTTGCTTTAAAAAAATTGGCAGAGAATTGCATCAGATTGTGTGCACTTAGGAAAAACCTGTAAAATATATAAAACCGCAATGGTAAATAAGTCAGAAAGGGTGTTGCCTTTCAAGAGGGCAAACTTAAACCCCAGTATTCTGGAGTTAAAAATCCAGTTATGTTAAAAATCCATTTCAGGCAAAAATTATGTAAGCAATAATTTAACCTAGAACTGGATATTAAAGAAGCTGCTATTTACAGAGAGACTTGATGTTAATTTTGCCTGTTGGGCGCATCTCTCCTCTCATAAAGAGTTTAGAAAGATAGGGTTGCTGTGATTTCCACTGTTGTAACATTCCTCTTCAAATATTTTAAGTCTGGGTGAGAGACTGAAAGCTTACAAGACAGTACTGTGTTCACAGGGTGCATTGCTTTGGGAGGAGAAGATAGGAAGAAAAGGACTTTTTTTAAGGCTGCACAATTGTATATATGCGTATTTAAGAGTATTTAACCATGTCTGCTAAATTACTGAAGTTAATCTATTGTTGAATTATAGAATATTATTTAATGCATCAGCGTTGTTTTTTCCTGACTTGACCCAGAATTGGAATGGACTCCAGTATAAATTTTTTTAAAGCATTTCTTAAGTTGTATGTATTATAAACTAATAAAATAATTGTTAATGTATCTACTAAGCCTTGGTGTTTTTCATCTGTGTTGGGAGGGGGAGTGGTAGAGAGTAGAAGAAAAAGACAGAAAAAGCTGAAAAACTCTGGCATATGATTTAACGATCTCCTCTTGTTTCCAGTTGATAGTTTTAGTCTAAATTGGCAGGAGGGGGGAAGAGAGAACAGTTTTGGATAATTTAGGTGACAGTATATGTGACTTCAGGACTGGAGTTACCAAATTACAAGCATTGCTTGCCTTAACTGTTTCAAAATGGTTTTTCATTAAGTTTGCATTTGGAATTCTTCAAGCTTTTCAAGCCCTAATGATAGTCGGATTTATTATATGTACTATCATTCTGGTTGAATGGTGATGTTGAAGCTGTTTGTACACTTATTTATATATACACTAATGCTCTCAAACAAGATATGCTTTTCATCTAATTGAGGCAGACACCACCTGTTCAGAAAGGAATCAATCCCATCAGTGCAATTCACGTATTTTTAAGATGATCGGATATGAAATGCTGGTTAACCTGAACCTTATGAACAAAAACTAACGCTGCACTCTCCACTGTGCTGACGGCGGCCTTGGCTCTCATCAGTCAGCCGCTTTTTCTTGCACGAAACGTTTTACAGCTCTTTGGTTACCCTAGTATGGAAATCTTGACACCTTCTTTATAATGTGTGTGTGCATAATGTCTATAACATGTATGGGGGGGGGGTGTTAGACGTGCACATGTCCCCAAAGTGTGGGTGGGGAGGGGTGCTCCCTCCCGGTGCTGTGAAGCATTCCGGGTGTTGTAATGTGGGCTTGCAAAGCGGTATGATACAATGTTGCTGAGCAGAAAAGCGCACGATAGATTTAATGTAGCCAATTGTGTACTTTTGAAAAAAAGAGTAACTGTTCAGTGTGAGTTAATTTTGGATTTTTTCAGCATCTCTCTTTTAGGCTTTGTGCTGCATTCTTCTGGACAAATGCGTATTCCATGTGGGCCACTGTTCTGCTAAATGCTCTCAGTTCTCCTTTTGCAATCAAGATTATGTTGCTAAGGAGATTTTGCTTTTATTGGTGCCATTGATTTGTGTTAATACGTTTTGAATACCTCTCGGTATTCTTCCGCAGACAAGGCCAAAAGAAAAACTTCCCTGAGTTTCCCGATTTACATCACAAATGGAGCGGTGGTGTAATGAAGCCGATATAAAGTGGGCAGTTGAAAGGGAACCAAAGAAGGGCACTCAAGTGAGAAATGAAGAAATGTGCCGAGAGCGGTCTGCGGGCCGCCTCCGACCCAGCTGCGGGAGCGGGCCGGGCCCGGCGCCGGGGCAGGGGGACAGCCCGCGGCCTCCGGCGCCCGGACCAACCACTCGCAGCGCCCGCCCGCGGATTACGCGTCGCCGGGGGGGGCCCCCAAACGGCCCGGCCCGCCCGGCTCCCGCGCCTGTAAACAGGGGCGCGGGAAGCCGGCGCGGGAGAGCGAGCTCTGTGGAGCTGCGGGAGCGCGGCCTTGGCCTCTGCAGCGCTGCCCTCACCGCCCGCCCCTGCCGTGCCCTCCGGGCCGGGCCCCTCGAGTGGTACCCCGGCTCCCCGCGGCTTTCGGATGGGGCACAAAGAGGCAGAGGGACCCGCTTTATCGAGGCACCGCTGTAGCCAGGCTGTGCTGAGTCTGCGCTCGGCCGCGCTGGCTTTGTGGTGCCCTCGGCGAGGTGGGGCTGTCTAGGCACTGCTTTATCCCTCTGAGCGTGCCTGCCCTTTAAAAACAAACAGACCAACACCACCACTCCAAAAAAGCAACCCCACCAAACAAATAAGCAAAACAAGCCTCAAACTGAACCTAACAGTTTAAAATAAAAGTACTAAAGAAACCCCAACCTCTAACCTTGTGTTCATGATTGCTCCACTGAAGGCAAGCCCCAGGAGGACATCAGGCCTCCTGCCTTCATGGACAAGGAAGGCTCTCCCTTGCTCTCTCTGGCTCTTCCACATTAAAACAATGAGCTCCTAAAAGACTCAAAGACCTGGTACTTCTTTTATGTGAAAAGATTATTCAGAGAACATTCACACCAAAAAGCCAAAGAGCATTCCCATGTTCCAGGGTTTGCTGTCACAGAGATCTGCCTGCGGTGTTCAAAACCCCTGCCCCCTGCTTTGCTTTGGGATGGCACAAAGAGGACCTGTGTCTGTGTCCACAAACAAGGAGCAATGTATGTACTTGCAAAGCACAGGAGTGGTTGCACTGCAGGTATTCAGAGATGAAGACTTCTGTTGTGCAGCCCCCCAGGTGACGTAGGAAGCAGTTGGAGCCCTGTGCCATGTGCTGGTGAATGAGCTGGGATGGTGACTGGTTTCAGGCACCTTGTTTATGTTTTGGTGACCCAAAGTCACAGCATGACATGACTTCTGATCCAAAGGAGCAAATGTGGTTTATATATGGAAGTGCTCTACCTTTTGCATCGGAAGTAGCAGTCTCCTTTATGTTGTATATTGCTTGCTGCAAAAACATCCCATTGCATTTATGTAGGCTCAGCTTGCTTCTTTGCATTGGTCAAGCCAGAGGTCGTTGTTCTTAGGCTATTGATCATATTATATGTAGAATAAACTTTATGTCTTCTACTCTTGCTCTCTGCAATATTAAGACTCTGCCAGAAGGTTGGAAACTCAGGCTTGCTGAAAGGGTGGGAGGAGAAGAAGAACTCAACCTCTTTACTCATTTTTGAGGGGACCTCTGGAGGACTCCATGTTAAGTGACTTTTTCCTATTTGTGCACCTTCGAAGATCTGGATCTTGAGTAATTGTTTAATAAAATGAGAGAAATGCATAAGGATAGCTTATGAATGATGTGAAGATCATTTTAGCAGTGGGTCTTAGGATTTTATGCCATTCTGTTTTAATTTCACAGTTCTAAGTGAAATCCTTCATCGTGTTTCAAGAGAGTGTGCCAAAACACATCTTTTAATTTGTTGTTTCATACATTTTCCAATACACTCTGTGCAAAGGTTCTGGTTTTATATGAGATAATGAGTTTTGAGGTTAATGAGGATAAGGCCCAGCATTCCTACTGTATTGTGTGCCATTAGTATACAGTAGAAATAAATTGAGAAGCAGACACTGTTTTAAAATCCTCTTTCATTTAGGCATTTTGTTTAGCATTCAGAACACAGCCACATTACATGATTAGCTGATTTTAATGACTGTCCTCTAATCAGATAAATGGAAGTACGTGGAAAACCTAAAAAGAGAATATTTGTGGAGACAGTCTGTTTACATTGTTACACCTCAGCTAAGAGGATACTTGGCATGTATGATGCAGCTAAGAGAAGAATGTGGAAGGCCAAAGAAACCTTGAAGACAATTGGATCCAGCCTATTCTTTCTCTCCCCACAATGCAAGCTCTGATGACTTGGTATTTTAATTAATGTCAACCCTTACCATCAGCGCTCATGGGAACAATCATTAAACCAACACAAAAACATTTTAAATGGCTGGCAACCTACCAGATACTGAGCTAAGCATTCCCATGGTGGAGTGGATGGTTTCATAGCCAATTCTGCACTGGATTAAATAAGTACTCTAATAGTACTGGCTAGAAAGGCTATTATTTTCATACTAAACAATGCAGTATGGTTTCTAAGTTCTATTTTAAAATGTTTTCATACTTACTTCCCAACACTAGTATCAATGTTATTTATATGGATGTGGTTGAATTTTACTCTTTGTTGTTACTAAAACTTGTTTTTTCTTGTTCTTCCCGTTCTTTTTTCTTTGTTTGTTTCCTTGCTGCTAAACCAAAACCATATATATTTTTTTTTCTCCCAGATAATGCACATGATCAGACACAGCCTAAACCAAAATTGGTTTCCAATGTAGCTTAAAAGCTGCTATCCAAGTGAATTTTAAAATTGGACAAGTAATACATTTTTTTGTATTGTGTTACTTTTGCACGGTAGGATCTGGGTCATGTCTCTAAGTACCTAGTAGGTACTCTGTTGTCCTTACCGCTGCAATGTTTGCTTGCCAAGTGTACTGAGTAGTCTGATCTTTCTTATTCCTCGAAGGACTCTTTCCCTCCTCCCATTTTCTGTGTTTGCTGTTTGCTCAAATTGTTTAAACATGGAGCTCAATGACAGGCTATTAGCGCTGACCGGAGCCACACATAATGTGGCCACATGTTGTGTAAGTTTCACAACTTGTCTGCTAATTTGCCTCAGGCCTGACCTGAAGTACCCTTACTAGTCTAGCTCTTAGCCCTTCCCCAGCAGAGACAGACACTCATACTAACTCTTATGACACATTGTTGACATCTTTGATTTGGGGCCAAGTCCTACCTCCCTTTCTACGGAAGGTTGTGCCATGGCAGTCAGTGAATCTGCCTGAGGAAGAGAAGAGGACAGAGCCAGCTGTGCTGTAAGGATGGGGATGAGGGTGAGAACTCTTCCTCTTCTGGTGCAACCCATCAGGAGTTAAAGCCCGTGGTTGAAGTGCATTGGACTGGCAGTGCAAGAGGAGCTGCCCTGCTCTGCCCATGGTTGCGTGAACCCCACTGGCGGATCCCTGGGGAAAATACAGTTTCCATAGAAAGTCCACAAGCTACAAGGAAGTCACGTGGCAGGGAAGCCCAGGCTGGCAAGCAGAGAGTGCACTCTGTTTCATTCTTGTCATTAGGCTCTCTGATGCCACTGTGATGGGTAAAAAAAGGGGGGATATTTTAGTCAAGTGGGAAAACAAAAAGAGCAGCCTGTTTAGGAAGAAAATGAGGATAATGAAATACATACTGAGGAGCTCAAAGAATGTACTTGTATAAATGAACCTAGAAGGATCCAAGCCAAAAGTGAAAAGATCAATGCAGATGTGTGGCACTGGTATCCAAAAAGGAAATTAATTGGAGAGATGGATTTCAGATGATGAGCTACATTGATTGGGAAGAGGGGTGTGTGGTAGATTAGGCAATAGGATTGATGGGTTGATACAGTTGATCAAGAGAATGGAAGTATATAGAGGAAACCTTAAAAAGGCATTGGAAG